GAGCCAAGTCCTCTTGGGTCATCTCTCCTGGCACCTCTTCAATCTAGATTGGCACAGAACAAACATAGATTGTGAAATATGAAAGATTATTTTCTGATTTCAGTGTTTATTTTCAGTGGAGTATATCAAAGTTGAACCATTCAACATGGAAACTCACAAGGAATTGTCCTGTCTTGTTAGAGCATGCAAAAAGCCTAGGAGGATGGGTGTCAATTTTGTTCTTGAGCCTTTCAGAGGTGCAATACTCTGCTTTTCCTCCAAGAGCACTCCAGAAGTCATCTACATAGAAATTTGAGAAAGAACAAGAGTTGTTCAGTATGGGTTCATTTATATTTTGAATGCAACTTTTATAAAATAAGTACAGTAAAACACTCCTCTACCAAATGACAGAAATACACCCACCTCCCTCTGCTCCTTCTGAGATCTCTGAAAGGTCCACTCCTAAAATGCTGCCAAGCTTTTTGGCTCCAGTCTTTTCTGCATTGCTTGTACCATGACCCAGCCACAGCATAGAGCCTGAAGCAGTCACCAAAACAAAAGCATCATTGGAGTTGAGGCTGGAGGCCACAGCATCAACCTATTTCAGGCAAAGTGAACAACCGTCAAAGGAGAACCAATTTTGCATACATTTTCATATGAAGAACATTCGACAAAAACGAAACTGCATCATACAATGATGCATTACAAAGAACACTTTTGATTCATTTTGACTCACCTCAACAGCTCGTGTGTGCCCAGCAGGATTAGCACGCATTTGGAAAAGGCGGACTGCAGAAGCCTGTGATTGGCCACCCTTTCGTGAAGTCCCACCCTTGTGCACCACCATTGGTTGCCCACCAAAGATACTCATGAGTTGAGGGGGTTCTTTGCCTTGAATTACTCGTACCTTCATAAACAGTCACATTCAAGCTGGTGTTACTGATTTGTTTTGATGGTATACAGTGGTTATAGAGAAGACTCACCCCCCTTTAAAATAATCACATTTTGTTGCTTTGCAGCCTGAAATGAAAACGGACACCATTTTTGTTTTATCCAGCTGCATTTACTCAGTGCAACTTATAACATCCAAGTGAAAGATATAGCCTAACACAAACATGTCAGGAATTATTATTATTTTTTTTCCAAAAAGTTGGAAAAAGGATCACCCCCTCCTAAAAATGACTTGTAAACTCAATCAGGTGTAGCTAATCACCTTCTCAATGGCACACAAAGCCATTTGACTTTCAACTGTGATCAGTTGTGGTCATTTGGATTAGCTCAGCATGAAAAGAGCTTTCTTGGAGCATTTCAGTCCTTGGTAGTGCAACTGAAGCAAACAATCAACTATGGGTGGCAAGGCACCGTCAGAAGATCTCCGGGATAAAGTTGTGGACGGGCAAAAGTCAGGAGACTTGAAAAAAAAAAAAAAAATGTATCAATGCCTAGAAGCACAATGAAGCCTATTATTAAAAAGTGGATGGTATTTGGTACAACACAGACCCTCCCTAAATCAGGACTTCATTCCAAACGGGATGAAAGAACCAGGAGGAAACTGGTCAGAAAGGCTACCAAGAGGCCTACAGCAAATCTGAAGCAGTTGCAGGAATTTGACAAGAGTGGTCATTGTGTGCATGTGACAGCAATATCACAAATTCTCCACAAATGTGGCTTGTATGGGAGGGTTGCAAGAAAAAAAGCCACTCCTCAAGAAAGGACACATGCAGTCACGACTGAGCTTTGCCAAAACGCACTTTGAAGATTCTGAGGCCACATGGAAAAAGGTGTAATGTCAGATGAGACTACAATTGAATTACTTTATTTTTTTTTTTTAATGTTGGTGACATCTTTCACTTGGATGTTATAACTTGCACAGAGTAAATACAGCTGTATACACCAAAAACTGTCTCTTTCTTCATTTCAGGCTACAAGGCAACAACAAAGGTGTAATGTCAGATGAGACTACAATTGAATTACTTTATTTTTTTTTAATGTTGGTGACATCTTTCACTTGGATGTTATAACTTGCACAGAGTAAATACAGCTGTATACACCAAAAACTGTCTCTTTCTTCATTTCAGGCTACAAGGCAACAAAATTTGATTATTTTAAAGGAGGGTGATTCTTTTCTATACCCACTGTATATTAAGGGTTTCTAGTTTGGTGTACTGCAGACAGAGCTCCAATCCTGATTATAAACCCACCCACACCTGCTAATCAAGGTCTTCAGGATTACTAGAAACCTTCAGGCAAGTGTGTTAGGGCAGGTCGGAGCTAAACTCTGCAGGACATTTGTGCTCCAGGAGCAGGATTGGACACTCCTGGTCTATAATTTAGTAGTAGGTGAATAATGTGCACCAAGCAAATGTCACCTGCACAGGACTCCCACCGAGCTCTGCATCAAGCTGGGCAGCCAGAATGGCAGAAGCTCCTTTCTCATCTTGACTGGACTCTTCCCCCTGCCTGCGGACATAAACAACTCCATTTAATAAACCTTTGCAGTGATGACTCATCCTATTGACAAACAGAAGCTTAGCCTGGTGGGGCTAAGAGATACTAAAAGACTGTGTTCTGTTACCCAAGTGCTTTTGTGTAACATGAGCAGACAAAGACCTTGGCTTAGAAACAGGTTCAGCCATTCATAAAAGATTGAATGGATTCTAGTAGGTCTGTAGCCCTTACCATATATATATAATCTGCCCCGGACGTCCCCCATGCTTGTAGCTGTACAGGATGATGTAACTGTCTCCTCCAAAGAACTGCCCATGAATGGATGGGTCAACTGGAACCTTGTCTGAACCCTCAATGAGCCAGATCTTTCCAAAGCAACAAAACAAGACAAATTGTCCATTATTTTGTCTACTTTAAACACACGATAGTTGCAATCTGTTGCATAACAGTACACAGCGCATTTACCTTTTTCTCCCCCTTCCCGTCATCTACCATTCCATGCTGAGCAGCCATTGCCTCGGATTTGTGCAGAGATGTTGCATCAAAGGGCACTTTCTTGATCTTGGCAATTTTGTTGGGCACATAGGCTTGTCCCATACCCTTTGTCTGGTCTGTGTCACGCCAGAACTTGAAGAACTGTTTGAAAAGAGGAGTCTCTCCATTCTCAGGGATAATCTGGACCTCAGTGTGTTTAGGATAGCCCATCTTACTTATGAAGTCCTCGGCAGCTTTCATACCTGCACTTCGCTCTTCTTTATTAGCCTCTTTACCTGTTATATTAAAGAAACAAAAGGGCAAGATTTTCATTCAGGCATGTCCCAAATGCAAATTTGGAATTCATTTGAATGATGTGCTCAGCTGACCTTTCCAGACAAATATCTTGCCATTGGAACCATGATCCAAGATGAAGCAGTCGGTGGACTGCAGTGCACTTTGGGAAAAGGGGTTTTCATCTGCCACCAAAGTGACAGACATACCCCCACTGGCATTTGAGACCTAGGTAATAATGACCACCAGAATAAGCCATTTTGTTAAGTTTTTAATATTTCTCAGGGAAAACCTAGAGAGTATAGCTTACTGTACCGTATACAATTTTGCAGACTTCCTGTTGGATGCATCAGTCTTGGTGTCTTCAGTCTGTGCATCAGGAAGTTCAGGCTTTGGTCCAAGCATCTGACAAAATATAGTAAAGCATTCACATTCAGAAAATAATATTGAATACTTACTAAATGCTAGAATACACTACACAATGTTTGCCCTGATTTTTGATTGATTTGCAGTCTGGAAGAGTCAACACTAGTTGAGGTAGTCAGAGCCAGTTCAGTTCAGTCAAATATTAAGCATGTTTGATATTTTACAAACTTTTACTTCTAGCAATAAGGCACATGTCTCTGTGTGAGTTTATAGTGTCTGGAATGACTTGATGGTCTGGTAGTGTGAGATCTTCAGTTGTCAGCAAGTATATGATGCTTAACTTTTCAAAAATTGTGTGGTGTATTCTAGCCTTAAGGCACTAACCTATATAAAAAATGAATGAATGAAACGTCTTTCTTTTATTATACTAACCGCTAGCATCTTCTCATTCTCTGATCCTTCTTCACATACAAGAAGTTTTGCTCTCCCACAACGTTCATTATCACGAATATCTTTGGAAACACTGGTGGCCTTCAGTCTCTCAAATTGGTTACACTTGGACCCACACCACTGGTATATCTCCTGATGCAAGTAGAAGAGAAACAGCATGAATACATGGGATACCTTATGATAAAAATGCAAGAGAGAGAGAAAAGGCAACAATTAATCCATATCATCTTTCACCTGTCCAAAGTCTAGGATGAAGCAATCACCCTTGTTGAAGCTGTCCCAACTCACGGGAACCTCAATGGCCCGGACTACACGTCTGCCACTCACATGGAGAACTCGCTTCACATTCACTTCACCGGAAGCTACGTGTTTGAATCCAGAGGCAACTCCTCCTTGCTGAAGAAATGAAAAGCAGTTTAAGGAAAAATTATTTACTGTTTTGCTATTATGAACTGACACAAGTATCCAAATACATTTTATATGCATCAAAGCATGGTACACGTATTAACTCTACCCACCATGTATTTAAGGCCTGATTTGAAGTAGCCTACAAAGGTTTTTGACTCATATCCCTGGACTTCTCTGTACTGGATTGGCTTTCCTCCAAGGAAATCGTCCATTTGCACGGTGAAGATAGCAGCTGCCCCACTCTCATCCATTGAGCATGTATCACCTGGAGATGCAATTTAACAATGTTCATAAACAGATTTTCAGTGAACATGCACACCATTTACTGAGTGAGAGGACCTTACATTTACACTAACCACATTCTCACCTATCCAGAAGTGAAGGTCATATTGTAGATTTCCAGAGTTTTGCTTTATGGTATTGAGAATGAGGTAGGTATCGCCGGCGTAGAAGCCACCATGAAGATTCTTAGGGACAGGAACCAAATCCATGTTTTCAATCCTCCATACCTGCAGGCCTGGCTGCTTTCCTGCCTTCTCAAATTCAGGGTGGTTCACCATGGTGCTGTTTGAAAACAACATCTATTGTAACAGCCATACACAATAGCCATATTTTGCATGCTCTTGTGTTCCACATAAGTCTATTGTTGAGAATAAGATTAAACAGAGGAAGGATTGTGTACTTTGTTCTTCATTTCCTATTAAATGGATCCATCAAAAGAAAACAAAAGGCAGTTTCTGTCTCTCGGTCTACAACACTTTGTCTGCATCTTTAAAACTGTTCTAATGCTTCCGCAAATCAAACCGCTCTCCTGGTATGAGGTGGTGGATGAGTCTAGTCATGCCCTCAGGCAGAGATCTCCACCCCCAATGGAAAAAGGAAGAGTCAGAAAGGGCTGGTCTCTCTTGGCACTGCAGAGGTGCAGCGGCACAACAATTGGCTTACTTCAACACTTACCTGTTCTCAACCACTGTATGCCATTCAGGAGTAGACAACAAAAAAGGTTAGAGGTAAAAGTTACCCTGCTTACATAATCTGCAATGAAATGCAGTTTATTGGTTACTATAGTGATAATTTAATTTGCAGTACTTATAGAGAAAATTATATATAAATTTTAAATACCACTGGTCTATAGTAGATCAGGGCCGGTTGAATAAACTGCTTAGACTAGTCTTAAAAAGTTAGCCATCTAATTTGTTTTCTTCTAGACTGGTCATAACGGTTTAAAGTCAGTTACAAAAACATAGATTGGCCCAATTTTAATCAGAAAACAGGTTGATTATCTCTTGGCTAACTGCTAGTTGGTCAAACTAGTTCTTAAGACACAGTCTTAACATAGTGGCTGTTTATGCAACCGGTTAGAATAATGCATTAATAAATACACACAAAAAATACATAAATTATAATACATTACCTACCGTAAATGAGTGATGCTTGAGAAAAGTAATTAATTAACAGCATCATCAGCTGGTGACTAAGCATCAGGAAACAAATGAATGCGTCTCTATACTAAAGCCCAATCAAATAGAATGCTTTCGAAATATGCCTACCTGCTGGGTAAAGCTTTCTTTTAAGGTATTATCAACAGATGAGTCCGGGACGACAGCTGTAGGTTTGAGCACTGAGCTTCCGCAGGTACTGAGCGTAACATCTTCAACAGGTTTATTTTATTTGCATATGAAACACCTCCTCTCATTAGTCAACTCTACGAACATGCATTTTCTTCCGGGAAAAACAACAACACGCACACGCACACACACACACACACACACACACACACATACATGTGTATATATATATTGTGCAGAGTTTGCGGTTTAATGTTACTATATAATACAATATTTCGTTTAAAATGCACAGTACATTTTTTCACTGATTCAGTTGTTACATTGATTCTCTGAGGTTTGATCGCACCAGTCTTAATAAAGGAGACACCGTGTAGTGCGCCATTATATGTCTAGAAAGGTTTTGCTTTAGAGAGTGTGCAGAATACAACGTGTACAACAAATACAACAAAAAACGAGCGTGCAGAATACAACGTGTGTATATTATTCTGTCCATTCATATAATGGTAAAGGGGAGACCCGGGCAAAACATTAGGCTAACGCAAGAGCTAAACTGACAACAAATATTGCAACTAAAATGATAAATATTTATGTTTATTTTAAAACCTGTGTGGCAGCTTGCCTGGACTTGGCCCCTTACGAAAATTAACCATGGTTTTATTATAGTAAAAGTGTATGTATTTACGTGTATATAAGTTTTTTTTGTTGCCTATTTGTATAACCACAGTTTTACCACAAACACCATGGGGGGTGCTGTTGCTCCAGTAGAGGAGTGTGTGCGTGCGTGTGTGTGTGTGTGTGTGTGTGTGTGGGGGGGGTGCTGTTGCTCCAGTAGAGGAGTGTGTGTGTGTGTGTGTGGGGGGGGTGCTGTTGCTCCAGTAGAGGAGTGTGTGTGTGTGTGTGTGGGGGGGGTGCTGTTGCTCCAGTAGAGGAGTGTGTGTGTGTGTGTGTGGGGGGGGTGCTGTTGCTCCAGTAGAGGAGTGTGTGTGTGTGTGTGTGGGGGGGGTGCTGTTGCTCCAGTAGAGGAGTGTGTGTGTGTGTGTGTGGGGGGGGTGCTGTTGCTCCAGTAGAGGAGTGTGTGTGTGTGTGTGTGGGGGGGGTGCTGTTGCTCCAGTAGAGGAGTGTGTGTGTGTGTGTGTGGGGGGGGTGCTGTTGCTCCAGTAGAGGAGTGTGTGTGTGTGTGTGTGGGGGGGGTGCTGTTGCTCCAGTAGAGGAGTGTGTGCGTGCGTGTGTGTGTGTGTGTGTGTGT